AATCAAATCGAATACACAAAGCCGTAACTAAGCCTGCTTGTGTGTGTGTGTGCGCGCGTTCAACTATCATTCCTTCATCACCTAAACCGAAATAGGGGAATTACATCTCAAGTATGTTTCATCAAAAAATTTGGGAGGCTTGTATTGTCTTGAAAGTCACTTCCGTCCTGTGACTCAATGGCATCCATGACATGGTGATGTGGTGGTAACATGTCGAAGCTATACGTTGCACTAGCCAGATTCGATTCCTGTTAGGGATGCTGATGATGGATGAGCTTACCTCTTGGGAGGCTTGGGAACTTGATGAAATTCAATGGCATCTGGGGGCCTACTCATAAAATTGTAGGAAAATTCAACTATCAGTATTTCATCACTTGGCTAAAACTCTTTTTCAATTTCTATTAATTGTTTCGAGACCTATCGCTAATGAAGATATATTTAATAAGTCTATACTATAGCACAGTATTAAATCATATACCATACTGTTTTATATTATAATATAGACTTCCAGAAGATTTAATATGAAAGCTATATTCACCGACTGATGAAAGTACAAATAAGTATATAGTCGATTGCTATTGCAGATGCAACTTTGAATCTCCGACGATCTCATCACCGAAGTACAATATTGGAAAAGCTTAAGCTTCTATGACATGCACATTTGCACTCTGATCAGAGGGCACTATTGGCAGTGTGGCATAGTGATTAATGTGTCGAGTCGGTATGCCGCTCTAATCCGGTTCATGTCACGCTGTGGATGCTGATGAGGCCAGCAGAAAAATGAATATATTTTGGGGAAGGGAAACGTGAGACCTACTTAAAACATTGTGGAGAAATTGTAAACTCATTCCCTAATAATCCTAAGCGAAGTATGGTGAATACAGATTTTATAGTTGATGTAAGGATGATGTCCTGCTTTGGTCATGTTCGTCATACGACGGACGAAAGCTTACCACCTTTTTCATCGAAACCGAAGGAGATTTCCTCGGAAACCGCTGCCCAGCGGCAGCTGGTCAAGAGCATTCCGCCTTGGTCTTCTGGTGCGATTCACCTTCGAATCTCTTCACCAAACACTCTCACTCGAAGGGTAAGTAAGCTCAATGAGCAAAGGTAGTTAATGAGTCAATGAATATTTGAGGATACCTCAAACTTCACTCTAAACGTTTCTAGGACTCACTGGGAAGACATCTTTCTGAAGACTTATGATCTCCAATTTGTCGAGTGGAGAAGCGTCTGTGAATACCAACTTTGGAAGAACGGGGATCGTACATTCACATCTCTCTGACATGATTGCATAATCTTCTTCATCCCCGCCCTCTTCTCCACCATTCGCACAAGCAACAGCATCATCATCACCATCATCTGAATCTTCATCATCTGGATTGACAATCCCTCCATTCTCCTCAAACTCCATGCCATTACCCGGCCTGCCATCTCCTCTGTCTTTAATACGTAAATCGTCTGTCTCTTCAAACGAGGACTCATCTGCCCCGCTAGTTGAACTTGGGCCAGACTCTGATTCGTGCCATTCAGAGGCCTGATGACGGGCAAGAGCAATTGAACCGGTGTTGGTGACACCTACGATCTCAAAGGCATCAGCAATTGGCGGAGTGGCCTGTCCAGCAGGAGGCGGCCGATCAGGCATTCTTCCCTTTTGGCCACGCTCCAAAATACGACCGGAAGAGACAAGATTCTTGGGTCCATTCAAATTGTTGTACTGCTTCACCTGGTCATCCCTCCAGTTCCGCTGTTCCGCCTCATCTTCACCACTTTTCTGATGTGTATAGACAGCCTGTTTTTGATTAGCCTTAGCCATCGTCTGACATCTCAAAAGGGTCCAACCATCCTCCTCCTCCTCCTCCTCCTCCTCACCATCATCATCGCCATTATCATCATCCTCTTCATCCTCTTCTTCTTCTCCATCTTCTTCATCTTCATCCTGGTCTCGGGTAGGGCTGTCCGAGAGCCGATCGCCCGGACGGATACGCAGGCCAGGCGGAGCATGCAAAATGGCGGTCTCCAAATGCTCGACATCCCGCACCTTCGCGGAGGAGGTCATGGTTGATAAGAGTCCCGATTCGGTGAGTATCTCGCCTGGACTCACATGGCCCTGTTTGTCAGGCTGAAGAGCCATTGAATTGGCGATGAGGGGTCCGACA